TACCAGGTGCAAAAAATTAACTATTTAATTTTGTATGGTACCACTGAGTACTTTTTTACTTGCTAAAAATAAATTAAGAAATTTGACAATATCTTTGTAAATCCAGAGATTTCAATTTTACTATTTATTTTGTGGGTAATGTTGCTTTGGTGTTTCCTAATTTTCAAGTTTTGCAGTCATGGAGATACAAAGTCACTGGATGTGGAGGGACATTACTTCAAAGTTTTTTGGCTCCTGGAAAGTCTATTAAAACAGTTGGGGGTAAATGGTGGTGACCATGTAAAACCCAGAAGACCTGCTAAATCCCAAACTGTTAGCTGCAGATTTCTAATGCCTGTTTTGGAGTTCAAAGCAGTTATGTTAACTCATCTATAAGTTCCTCTAAATTGTCCCAAAGATAGAACTTGGAATTAGATGCATATCATTGAGTCTACTATTTTATAATTAGTAAAATGAAGACAGAAAGAAAATTGTTCTCTTGAGATTTTGAGAAAAAACCTCTTGACCTAATAATTCATAATGAATATTATCAAAAATTTATTGTAATCATCTATATAATAAAAGCTTAAGTGACCATTACAACACAACAATTGGTCGCTATGTTGCGCTCTGATCATCAGGGTGCAAATGCTCAATGCAGGAGCTGCCCCCTGTAATCAGTGTGCTCCCACAGGGGGAGCGCCGCTCAGCCAGAAGTGGGCTCACGGCTGGTGAGCACAGCACAGCAGTGGACTGCGAGAGGGCACAGGCCAGGCTGAGGGACACCCCCTCCCTCCCCCAGTGCACGAATTTTGTGTACCGGGCCTCTAGTAAGTATGTAATTACTCAATATAGAACCACTAGGTATGAGTTTGGCTATTTTACTTTTAACAAATTCAATAGGACATTGAGATCTTGGAGATTATAGTAGGTAATGAAAAGGTAATTTGTGTTTATTTTTGTATTGCTATGTCCTATCTTTTTTGTTTATTTATATATATCTATATATCTATAACTATATCTATATCTATATATTTACAGAGAGGAAGGGAGAGGGATAGAGAGTTAGAAACATCAATGAGAGTGAAACATCGATCAGCTGTCCCCTGCACACCCCCTGCTGGGAATGTGCCCGCAACCAAGGTACATGCCCTTGACCGGAATCGAACCTGGCACCCTTCAGTCCGCAGGCCGACGCTCTATCCACTGAGCCAAACCGGTTAGGGCCTATCTTTGTTTTTTAATTGAGAAACAAATATTCAAAAAATATATTCAAAAGAGTACATAAAATATAAATACACAGTTTAAGGAATCATTTTAAGGTAGCTATTTGTATAACCAGCTCTCAAATCATTAGAACACTGACAGCAGCCCAGAAACTCCCCTTGTAGTCCCTTCCTAATCAACCAGCTTCTCCCCACATAGCTTCTGGCAATAATACTACCCTAGTTCCTGTGATAACTATGTCATTTTTAATTCTTGTTAGTGTTACCACCTATGTCCGCACTTAAACAATGCCATTTATACTTTTTGATGGTTTTGAACTTTTATGTAAATTGAACCATACTGTATTCTTCTGTGGCTGCTTCTTTCATTGAACAAGGGATTCATTCATGTTGTTGCCTGTAGCTATACTTCATTCATCATCATTGTTGTATAATTTAACTTTGCAATAACATACCACAATTTATTCATTCTGTTGACTGCAGACAATTCTGATGTTTTTAGTTTGGGGCATTCACAGTTCCCAATGAACATTATTATATGTATCTCCTAGTGCAGGTATAACAGGAATAGGATTGCTTTGTCATAGGGTATTTATATCTTAAATCTTATTAGATAATAACAGTTTTTCCTGAGCAGTAGAAATGTCCTGTTTCTCAGCTATGCATACACGAAACACAGTTTATTTTTGTATTATTATTTATTAATTGTATTATTTTTTCATACAAACAACTGTAAATCTACTTTTGCCCTGCTCTGTATATATAGCTATACATACATATATATATTTATAGATATATATATACATCTGTTTCTGAATTTTTTGGCTCCTTTTCTATACTTGTACTATCTATTGTCTTCATCACTATAACAAATATATTGTTTTTTATATTTGGCAGAACTAGTCCTTGTTGTTCTGTAAGACTGTCTTGGTTATTCTTAGCCCTTTGTATTTTCACTTCTCAAATTTCTATTTGCAAATATGGAAATCTGTCACTCTTACAGTTTCCAATTGTCTTGCTGTAATTTTCAGTCTTTTATCTACCTGAACATGAAAACCATTATTTTATAGTCTGTGTTTAATAATTCCCAAATCTGAAATTCTCTTGGTCTTGTTTTTCTTTTTCTTTTGTTTCTGCCAATCCTCATTTCTTATATTTTTGTGTGTCTTTCTATTTTTTAATGTGTGCCAACACTGTATTTGAAAAATTGTAGAAACAATTTGATGCCCAGCATGATCATTTTCATCCTCTACAGAATTTTTTCATACGCTCTACCAGATACTTGGGCACTAGTAGTTTGGGATTATTTTTACCCAGTTTTAGAAACTGAGATTTTTCTGAGTTATTCATGTCACTCAGAGCTAAACTGTAGACTGTAGTAGTGCTCTTTCTTCCTGTTAACCCTTACTCCTACAATCCAGAAGGGTTGCAAAGTGTGGGCTGGGTTAATAGGGCCCCCACCTCTTGGCTGGCACTAGATTCAACCTTTGAATCCCTAGCCCCTTAGCTGTGCTCAGCTTCTCAGTGGACTCTTACAAATTTTCCAAAGCTCTCAGGGAACAAGTGATCCCATACAAAGGGTTCACCTTAATGAAGTTCTATTTTTCCCAGATATTAGCCTGATAATTATTCACTGACAATTCTGATGCCTTCCCAACATTTTTAAAATATATTTTGTCCAACTTCTCTAAATATTCTCAAATAAGAATGTTAAACTAAATTTACCTAGCCACTTTATTTCTTAACTGTTGATTAGTGTAAAATATAATTGATTTCTTTGTATTGCTTCTGTATTTGGAAACTTACTAAACTCTAATGATCCTTATAATTATTTGTAAATTCTTTTGGACCACCTATATAATCTTGAAAGAGGGACAGTATTTAGTCTTTTTTTAAGATTCAAATTTTGTTTTTGTTAATCTTCTCTGTTGTATGTTACTTTTCCATTATTTTCTGCTTTTATCAATATTGCTTAGTTTTTTCCTATTTTCTTTAGGGATTTTTTACTATTCTTTTTTTCTAACTTCTTGAGATGAATGCTTACTTCATTCATTTTCAGCCTATCTTCAAACATATGCATTTAAAAGTTATAAATATCTCTATATTACTATAATATTTTATACTTACATTATATCATACTCTAATCGCTGTTGTAGCCACATTCCACAAATTTTGATATATATGCAGGGTGTGACAAAAGTAGGTTTAGGTTATAAGTATGCAAAAATAGTTTATTCTTGTATTATTATTTATTAATTATTGTATTATTTTCCATACGAATAATTATAAACCTACTTTTGCCCCACCCTGTGTGTGTATGTGTATTTATTTATTTATTGTTAATATTTAAAATATTTTCTATTTTTCATTAGGAGTTCCTCTTTGACTCTTGATTTTTTTAGGATAGTGTTTCTTCATATCAGCCTAGAGTTTGAATCTTGGGGCTTTTTAAATCCAATTTGATAATTTTTATCTTCTAACTGGAACACTTAGGCCATTTATATTCCATGTAATTACTGATAGATTTATTTCTGTCATTTTATTTTATGGGGATTTTCTGTTCTGTGATTGTTTTTCTCTAATTTCTTACCTTTTAAAATTTGTATTTACCTGGTTTCTTTACTCCATTTATTGCCAATTCTCTCAACTCTAGACACCCTTTGGTATTCTGAAGTTTTGGAAAGTACATTTCTCCTTTGCCATTAGGCTTCCTTTAGGTTCCATAAATAGCACTAGAAGGAGACTAGAATGCTGGACAAAGGGAGAAGTGACTTTTACTTTTACCCTTTCCATTTGCTTCCTGATGTCAGCATGCTTTTCTGCCAGTGGTTGTGGTTGGCTTCTAGGCACTAACTCTTCTCTGGCACTCTGCAGGGTATCTCATCTCGGCTTCCAGTTCTAACAATCTCACCCTCTGCCCTTTAGTGTTGTGTGCCTTGCTGACATTTTCAGTCCTACCAAGACCTATTTAACCAATTCCTTAGGTTAAATTCTTTCTTAATATAAATGACATAGTTTCCCTTTTCCTAAGCTGTACACCTTTTTTTCTTTACTAGTTTAGTAGCTTTTGTCTTTTGATAATTACCTTATTTTACAACATGCATATACAGATGAAGACTAAAGTGAGTCATTATCTTTACCTTTTTGCAGATTATTATAGTTTCTGAAAATGGCCACAGCAATATTTCCAATCTCACATGCTTATCTAGAGGCTTGTCACACACTCCCAACCCCCATCAATAGATAGAGTCTATTTCAACTTCCTTTGAACCCAAACAAAATTTTTTTACTGCCTCAGCTAATATACACTGAGTGGCCAGATTATCATGACCACCTGACATTTGTAGGCAAATTAGCTATAATTTCCCGCTGAAGTTGCTAGAGGGCCAGATCATTATAAACGTCTGAATAGCACAACATACCTAAGTATCATTGCTGATCAGCTTCATCCTATCATGTTGATGGCGTATCCCAATGGAGATGGCTTCTTCCAACAAGACAATGCACCATGCCACAGTGCTTGTATTGTGCAGGAGTGGTTTCAAGAACATGAGGGAGACTTTACCTTGCTTAGGTGGCCCCCACAATCACCAGATCTCAATCCAATTGAGCATTTGTGGGATGAAGTTAAAAGAGCCATCAGGCAGCTGGTTCCACAATCATCAAATCTCACAGAACTGGACAGTGCTATTCATCAGGCATGGTGTCAGATTCCTCGCATCACCTTTCAACATCTCGCAGAGTCGATGCCAAGAAGAATCACCACAATATTGAAGGCAAAAGGTGGCTCAATGAAGTACTGATGGGGTGGTCATAATAATCTGGCCAGTCATAATAATCTGGCCACTCAGTGTAACAGAATGCAGCATATGTAACACTGTATGATTTCCAAGGTTAGGTCATAGAGGCTTTCTCTTGGCTCTTCCTTTCTTGCTTGCTGACTCCCTCTTTAAAAATTCAACCTTGAAATCCAGACATCATGCTGTGAGGTAGCCTAAACTAGCCCACATGGAGAGAACAGCCCCAACCTACTACCATCATCAGGCGTCAGGAGTATGAATAAGCAAAACTTTCAGACGAGATTGGGCACATTCAGGGTGGTATGGCCGTAGACTGTAAGCAAAACTTTCACATTTGCTGTGCCCTTCCAATTACCTGACCCACAAAAATCCATGAACACGGATTGTTTATGCAACTAAGTTTGGGGATTATTTATTATGCTGATGTAATAACTAGAATAATGCTCTAATTTCTACTTGCATACTATAGTCATATTCTATTTCTGTTATGCATATTAATTCTGTTATCTTTTAATTCTACAAGACTTTATTATTTTGCTTATAGAATCAATGTTTATATTTACCTACACAATATCACTTTCTTTGCTCTTTATTCTGTTTTGTAACTCAGGCTTGTCATCTGGGATACATTTCTATTGGGAATATTTCCTTCAGAGTTTTAATTTGTGAAAGACTGCTCTGGCATACTTGCTTATGATTCTTTTGTATGAAAAATCTTTATTTTGCCATCATTCTGCAAATATATTTTTGCTAAATGTAAAATTCTGATTTGATGTTTATTATCTTTCAGCACATTGGAGATATTTTTCTACTCTCTTATGACTCCCCCTGTTGCTGTTTAGTCAGCTGTCAGGCTAAATATTAGATCTTCAGAGAAATCTCTTCATCTGTATTTCTTTTATGCAATTTAATTATTATGTGTCTGGATATAGATTTCTTTTATTAATCCTGTTCGGGGTTTGTTTGTGTGTGTGTGTTTTTTTCAGCTCTTTGAATCTAGATTTGTGTCTTTGGTTAGTTCTGGGAAAGTCCCAGTTATTTGTCTTTTACATTTATCAAGATTCATAAAAATGGTTTCCCCATTTTATTTCATGCAATATGTAGATGTTTCTTCAACTTCTCTCTTTGCCCTTCTATCATGGGTTCTTGGCCTAGAAATTGTGGGTGGAAAATCTTGATTAAATAAAGATCCAATATCGAGGAAAAGGGCAGTTCTTGATTTGCAGCATGAATTAATTTTCCTGCTTGTACTTGAAACATTGGTGTGGTGTGTTTAATAAATGTTAGTTAATTAAATACTGAATAGTTAGATGCTTTTTTAATTCTTATTTTATCCTTGACTTATAGCTTAGTTCCTAATAAATTTTTCTCTAGGGAGCATTTTTTCCTTGCTGGTTAGCTTAATATCAGTTACCTATCCTATCATATTTTTAAGTGGTTTTTAATTTCTGAAGTTGGGAAAAATACATTGAGGTAGTATCTTTATTCTGATTCTATCATTGCTCTTGCCTTTTATGTCAAGAGAACGCTGAATGCTGACATGTGTTAACACGAAACAAAATCTCATTTATTTTTAAGAGTATTTCCTTGTAAACACCTTAACTTTCTCCAAGCCTCCTGATTTTAACCCTTAGGGCTTTACAACTTCCATTTCCCAGTTCAAGGCAACTTAAAGCCAAGGGCTCTAGCATTCCTACTGTACCCCACTCAGCTATGAGCCCAAACTCCTGAAACAATTTAGGGCTCCCCAGTTTTCTTAAAACTTCAGCACTGTTTGTCAAGATAGGTTTTGGCCTTTTGTAATTTTTCTTAGAAAGTCCTATTTCCACTCGCATTTACTGTTCCAGTTCACCCTTCTATTACCTTTCTGCTTTTGAAAGAAAAGTATGTCATTCTACAGAAGATAGTCTAATTATTTGAGTCTCTCTCCATGTGTTCCTCTAATTCCATCAATTCATGTCATTTCAAAATCTGAAATGCAGGGAAGTTGAGTAATTTGGCCTGATCCCAAAACAGACTGAATCAGTTCTATTTCTAAAAGTATTGGAATTTTACATGAACAGCCCATTTTGTCATCCCTTTCCATTTCCTATTTTTTCCACTCCTGCTCTGAAGATGGCCCCTAGTCCAGGCGCTGCACTGTAGCTGTGGCAGCATGAGCGCCTAAAACCCCAAGAGAACTCATCCTTCTGTCAGTTCTCCCTGAACTGATCTACAGATTTAACAAAATCCAAATCAAAACCCGGGAGGACTTCTGTAGGTAACAAGTTCATTCTAAAACTTATTCTGAAAAGCAAAGAAACTAGACTAGACCAAGCAATTTTAAAAAGAACAAAGTTGGACTTGTACCTCCTGATACCAAGAATTACTGTAAAAATATAGTAATCAAGATAGCATGATATTGGCAAAAGGGTAGGAACATAGATAAATGGAAAGCGATTCATAAAAATATGATCAGTTAATTCTTTACAAAGATGCAAAGGTGATTTAATAAATAATGGGTGATTTTTTAAAACAAATGTTGCTGAACAATTACAGGCCTAAATGCCAATAAAATTAACCTTGATGCATCCCTCATACCTTAAGCAAAAATTGCAAGTGAATCATAGACCTAAATGTAACACATAAGACTATAACACTTCTCAGGGGGGAAAAAACAGCAAAAAAATCGTTGTGGTTTGGGTTAGTCAGAGAGTTCTCAGATACAACACTAAAAGTAAGGAAAAGTTGATAATTTACACTTCATCAAAACTGAAAACTTCTGTTCTTTTTTACTTATTAAAATAATAAAAAACAAACAAACACAATATTCACAAATTATATATTTGACAAAGGACCTGTTTTTAGAACATGCACAGAAGTATCAAAACTCAGCCGCAATCAAACAACCCAATAAAAATATGGACAAAAGACTTAAACAGAGAAACCAAGATGGCGGCATAGGTAAACACCGGAAATTGCTGCCTCGCACAACCACTTGAAAAATACAACTAGCCCTGGCTGGTTTGGCTCACTGGATAGAGCGTCGGCCTGCGGACTGAAGGGTCCCAGGTTCGATTCCAGCCAAGGGCATGTACCTTGGTTGCGGGCACATCCCCAGTAGGGGGTGTGCAGGAGGCAGCTGATCGATGCTTCTCTCTCCATGTTTCTAACTCTCTATCCCTCTCCCTTCCTCTCTGTAAAAAAATCAATAAAATATATTTTTAAAAAAAATACAACTAAAAGACAAAACAGACATCGTCCAGAACCACAGGAAGGCTGGCTGAGTGGAAATTCTACAACTAGAAGGAAAGAGAAAAGCACGCTGAGACTCAGAGGAGGTGCAGAAGTAAAGTGCAGAGGTACGGAGGCTCGAGCACGCACTGAAAGGGGCTGGCAATGGAGGACACCGGTGTCTTTTGCAATCGGGAGGGAGGCACCAGCTCCCGATGGCACGGACTCCAGTTCCGGGAGAGTCTCTGGGGACCCAGACTCAAATGGGGAAAAACTGGACTGTCTGGCAGCGGGCGGAACTCGAGGGCGGCTTTCTCTCAGAGGTGCTTGCAGCAATTACCAGGACACTGAGACCTGGGACCTCTCAGGGCAGGACTGAGGATCAGCCATAGCTGTTTGCTCCGCCCTGTTGAT